CCTTAAGTGATGGGCTATAACCTTTACGGGCTTACCCATGTCAATAGTCCCCCATTCTCAAGTGCAACTTTAGTCCAACGAAGGGAATAATGAAGAAAACGATGGTTGTGAGAGACCAATGGGGCGAAGACCGACCGAGAGGTGGGCCGAAGGCGATGGGTGGCTGGCTTCTCGCACCCCGGTAAGATATTGTCCGCTTTGGCGAGGTAGCGAAACGATGCCCGTCAGTCTCACGGCTTTAAAAAGCCTCTTACAAGGTGGAGGGGGCCAGTACACTTATAAGTTGGTTGCAAGTGTCCCCCCCAAGCAATGTGGGATTGCCCCAACATAACCCCCCAGTGGACTGGGCCGCGAATAGCGGGAGAGTTTGCCAGATGACCTGCATGGGCCACCAAACTGACGTGACTGGCTTCTCGCGCCCCAATAAGATATTGTCCGCTCTGACAAGGTGACGAAATGATACCTGTCGGCCTCACGGCTTTACAAGGCCTCTTACAAGGTGGAGGGGGCCAGTACGCTTATAAGTTGGTTGCAAGTGTCCTTCCCAGGCAATGTAGGATTGCCCCAACAGTTTTTATTAATGGTAGTTTATTTCAGCATATCACTGTATTCTCTTCAAAATTGATCAATGTTTTATCTATTTTCATGTGTGTTTTGATTTATTTGTTTATTTATTCAAAAACAAAAAATAAAAATTTTGGGTTGGGGATTGTATGACTGTTGAACTTTGAATCATGGTTTGAATGTTGGATTTGTATGTTTTTGCCGCCTCCTCACTTTGCCCCCGCCTCTGTTGCCCTCCCCTTCTTCTCTTTGTGCTTGAGAAGGGAAAAGATTATTCAATCCCTGAGGTGGCAATTTATCCTCCCAAAATTGTCAAATACCAAGATAGTAAAGGAGCCATTAAAGAAGCAAAATGGATAAACATGAGTCAAAAGTCATCATGAAGGGGTAGTATTGTCAATTCACATGTATACGCCCTCAATTTTCAACAGTTACATCTGTATGTGTAAAGTAAAAGTCACACGATTCATGGTTCCCCCAATGACTTTATTATTCAATTGCTTCTTTGTTCAATTCAAAAATCAAATATGCAATTTTGAATTGTAGACTTTCCTTGATCTCAATGCCATGCTTGGTTTCGGGTAGTCTTCAAAGGTGTGTTTGTTGACACATGAATGAATTTTACTTTTTTTTGTTCACATGAAAAAAGGGTCCAAGTGTTCCCTCAAAACTCAACCATTGCAGCTTTCCCTAGCAAAAGTGATGTATGCATGAATACAATAACAAAGCTTGGAAAGCAATGCCAATGCACAAAGACCACATGTCACCCACCACATTTTTGGTTGTCTTATAACGGAATTATGTTAGAAATTTTAAATAATTTATTAAATTTTTTATATGAATGTAGGATTTATATATATACAAATTTGTGTGTGTTTTATATATATGTGAGAGATTTGATAAAAAATTTGATAAACATTTGAGGTCTACAGCATTTTTCTTTAGGAAGATAATTAAAAATTAATTTTTTAATATTTTTTTTTTACAAAATGTGAGAGATGATATAATTTAAAATAAATTAAAAATTGAAAGATAATTTTTAACTATCTTTCTAAAATAGCCCTTTATATTCAATTTTATTGTTATTAGATTATTTAATTTTTTACTCCTATTTTATTTTATAACTAGTCACGTAAAAACTTACAAAATGAATTGAATTATCAAAATGAGATCGAATCTCACATAATCAAATTAACAAAAAGATAAATGTGGACCAGAGAAAAATTGCACTTCAATTTTCATGACATTTTGTCGTTTTTGGAAGGTCATCCATTGACATTTTCCTAACTTGATATTACTCGAAATTTTCTTTCTCAAGTTAGAAGGGAAAATTTATGAAGAGAATAATATATACAAATAAAGGGGCGTTTTGAAAGTTGATAAAAAAAATAATTTTTTGATTTTTTTAATTTATTTTATTTTTTTGTGAATAAAAAATATGAAAGATAATGTGACTTAAAATAAATAAAAAGTTAATAATTAACCCTTTTTTTTTTTTTTTTTTTTATAGTGTTTCCAAAAGACTCCAAAATTTATATACCAAAAGTTAGTATAGATGATGTGATTCATTGATATCCTTTAATTGAAAGTAAAAATCATCACTTTGCAAAAACGTCACTACTATATATAAAAATATATATATTATATAAAAAATCTTCAAAACTTTTGATTGGAAGTTATTGTGGTACCAGAGAATAAAAAATCTATATATTTAACAATTTCCTTATTTGTTGGTTGTTGACATTAACAAGTGTCATGTTGATTGTTCTCAAAACTTCAGCATCATTTGACAATATACCACACTTCGGATATTATATACATTAAAAATATAAGGCTATGCCATTAAAAATCAGAAAACTGTTTAATTGATAGAAACATTTTATCACATATTTGCATCATGAAACAAAAAATCATTTTTAAAAAGTAAATTATTCTTGTTTCCTTTTATTCATTTTTTTCTTCTTCCTGTACAACATTCCTGTAACTAAGAACTAAGGGTGGGTGGGGATCGGTTGTGGCCACGGAATCTCTAATCTGTCATCTATTCGCCAGATTAATAGATTAGAGAAAATCAATCCGCATCCGTCCGCTAATCCGGCGGATGTGGATTGAGCGGTTTGACGGATAGATGCGAATCGGTTTAGCGGTTTAAAATTTTATAAATTTTCAACATAATTTAACTTGTGCATTTCGTCAAAAAAAGAAGAAAAAAGTATTACAGTCAATAACTTAAAAAAATATTACAATCACTGCATGCCTCATCCAAAGTAAGAAAGTTTGAAACTTTAGAATATCAAAATCACAGCATACCTCATCCACATACTGCAATCACAGGATGTCTCATCCACATAAAGTATTATAATCTGTGATTCTTAAAATATAAAAACAATTCAAACCATCAAAACCATGAACAGAGCAGTAGTAGAGATTGTATATCTCTGTATTGTTACATTTATATCTGTTTTTTAAAAACAAAAACCAACCAACATATATTATATTTTCTATTTATTATTTTTAGAGAGAGATTTAAAACCAAAAAATATAGATAAATAATACGTTTATTTTTTTCCATTCAAAAAAGATATTCAAGCTGAAATTTTTTTTTCAACAGAATATTTAAACTCTTTTTTAATTGAAAACACAAACAGAATATTTAAATAAACTGAAAATACAAAATCTTATAAATTGCTAGGGCTGCTTGCTGTTTGGCGGTCCGGTTGCGGTCAAAGGAATCTCAAATCCGTCATCCGTCCGTCAGATTGGCGGATTAGAGAAAATCAATCCACAACTGTCCGCTCGTCATCATGCATCCGTCCAAAATGCGGCGAATCGATTCGATTCGATCGGTTTTTAACGAATCGATATATCCGCTACTCACCCCTATTAAGAACTATCAATCAAACTAAGAATTTATAAGAAACAAATATAATTATACAGCAGTGATATAGCAAAAAAAAATTTACACATGAGATAATATTAACTTACTTCTATTAAGTAAATGCTTATTTTATGAATTAAAAATTAATTTTTTAACTTTTTTAAACCTCATCATTTCTTTATTTTTTCCACACTTTAAAAAAAATCAAAAAAATAACTTAAAAATAAAAAATCAAATAGAAAATGACAGAGGACTATTTTTAAAAAATAATTAAAATCTATCCTTCACCTTTTAACCCATATTAAAAGTGTTTTAAGAAGTTAGTTAAAAATTAATTTTTTAACTTTTTTAAACCTCATCATTTCTTTATTTTTATGAATTAAGTAAAGGCTTATTTTATGAATTAAAATTTAATTTTTTAACTTTTTTAAACCTCATCATTTTTTTAATTTTTCCACACTTCAAAAAAAATCAAAAAAAAATTAACTTTTAGGCCTAGTTTGGGAAGATTGAAAAAAGATAAAAAGTCAAAAAGTCACTATCCTATTTAAATCACATCATCTTGTTTAAGTCACATCACCTCTCTAATACATCACTTCAAACCCAACCCAAACCCAACCCATATTTCATAAAAAGTCAAAAAGTGCACTTATTTAGTCTTCCCAAACTAGGCCTTAATCTCATTCTCAAAATCAGCGTTTAAAAATAAAAAATCAAATAGAAAATGACTATTTTGAAAAAATGATTAAAATCTATCCTCCACCTTTTGACCCATATTAAGGGACCTGGGGCTGCAGCTCAGCAATCTGCTGTGAGCCCGCGGTGACTTTTTTGAAGCCTTCATTGATGATCCGAATCATTCATATCGAATCATTCATATTATAAAATTTATTGAGTATATTATTCATACCAAAAATCAAATTAATCAAAAATCTATAGCCTTATAATCAAATACAAATTATTTTACAAAAATTATCGAGATAATGTTAACCGTTTATTTTTTAAAAACAAATGTACTCTTATTATAATCAATTTGTTCTTTTATATGGATGATCTATTTAACAAATCTTACAATATTAACTGTTCATATTATAAAAAAAAACTCGAAAAAATCCTCCACAGAAGCACAGCAGATTGCTGCTGTGACAGCGGCACCCCCGGGTTCCATATTAAGGGGTATTTTGAGAAGTTAATTAAAAATTAATTTTTTAATTTTTTAATTTATTTTATCTTTTTATAAATAAATTATCTAAAAGATAATATGATATAAAATAAATTAAAAATTAAAAAGTTACTTTTAACCAGCTTTTAAAAAAAAACACTAAATTATATCTCTCGTAATTTTTTACATAATTTAAAAAAAAAAAAATCAAAAAATTAACTTTCCCTCAACTTCCCAAAACAACCCAAAAATACCCACTTAAATGTGTTTTATGTAGTGCTGGAAAGAACTGAAGTATTCATTTATCAAAAGTAACACAACAATATTCGTGATTTTTAGAATTGTTCAATAATTTTTCAAGAAGGATATGGGTAAAATTGTGTGAAGGCAGAAACAGAGACTAATAAATTTGTATAGTTAAAATCATATATAGAGATATAACTATATAATATGTATAACAGCCGTATCAAACATGTTAGCTAAGAATTTGGATCATACTCTGCAGTTTGTAGTGCTACATAACTTGAAATCAACTTTAAAATTTTAAATAATAATAAATAAACAAATAAAAAGAGAGTAGAGTCCTAGGAGAAGCAAGAAGAAGACCAAGATTTAGTAGTGGTGGTGTTTGGGTTGTGGAGGCGAAGAAAGTTTCTCTTCCTCGTGGAGTAGAAGAAGCCATATCGGAGCCTGAACCAGACTATCTTTCGGATCTTTCTGGCGGATCGGAGCCTGGACCAAACGACCCTCTTGACCCGGAAGAAAGAACCCTTGATCCTCTCTGCAACACTCTTTTTCCTGCAGAACTGGTAGCTCCTCAAGAACAGTTGCCTCTTCTCCATCTCCGTGTAGTTCGGGTACGGGTACGGGTACGGGTACCCCATCTCGCTCCGACCACTCATCGTGAAAACTGGTCCCATACCCATTTCACTCCCTCCCATAATTCCTTCCATATATAGACAGAGAGCAAGAAGAGGAGGTAGAGAGAGAGAGAGAGTTGTGTTGTGTGAGAAGAAGAAACAAAGGGGAGAGAGGGTGTATAAAAAGAAGGGTAGTTTTTCTCTCTCTATCTCTGTATTTGTATCTATTTGTGGTGTTGTGTGAGCAGAAGAAAGAAGGGGGAGAGAGAGGGTGTACAAAAAGGAGGGTAGTTTTTCTCTCTCTATCTCTATCTCTATCTCTATATCTGTATCTATATATGTGGATCTCTTTGATTGTTTGCTATGTGGCTGTGGGCACTGCGCGGCCGTAGGAGTCTCAGAAAAGAGGCAGATGCTGGCTTGCTTTTTAGTTAAAAAAGTTAATTTTTTTACTTACGTTATTACTTAAAAAGTTAATTTTTTTTACTAAAAAAAATTAAAAATTAACTTTTTATTAATTTTTCAAAACACTACTAATTCGTTCGCTGCAGCTGTTGTTGGTGCGCCTGTCTCGTTTGGGGACATATGTCATTTCCATATTTCATAAAAAGTCAAAAAGTGCACTTATTTTTTAATTAAAATATAAGATAATAAAAATTAATATATTTAAAATAATTTTTTAATTTTTTAAAAAAGTTGTATGAGATTTTTTTAAAATAAATTAACTTTTTAATATAAATTATTAATTTCTTATTTTTTTTAATAACTTTTTAACTTTACTAAACTATACCTAAAAATTCTTTTAAGGATGAGATTTTTATTTATTTATTCAGCACATTTGAAGACGCGGTTGAATTGTTGATTCAAGTTCCAAGTACTTTCTATATTTAAATAATGGATAAATTGTCGACTTATACAAGAAGTTTTTCGTAGAGTTGTTTTCACTTTTTTATGAGCTATATTAAGCCTACGTTTGAGAAGTGGGTTAACTTTTTAATTTTTTAATTTTTTTGATTATTTTAGCCTGGGCTAAAAAGTTTGGTTTGGGAAGGACTTTTTGACTTTTTAACTTTTTTGATTTTTTTTATAAGAGAAGAGTGCAATAATTATGGGTTGGATGTGATATTTTATTTTTTGTGGCTAAAATAGCCAAAAAAAGCCCCAAACTCTTCTTGCCAAACGAACCCTAAGTGGACGTTTGGAAGGCGAGTTTTTATGTAAATTTTTTTAATTGTAAAATATTTTTAGAGAAATAATTTTTAATGTTTGGAAAGATAGCTCAATTTTTTTATGGTTGAATGTGATGTTTGTGAGAGAAAAAGTAAAATAATTATAGAGTTGGATGTGATATTTTGTTTGGATTTTTTTTTTTATTTTGTAAAAAAAAAAATTAGTGAAAAAAATCAAAAAAAAAAACCTTGGAGAAAAACTTGCCAAACACCACCACATGGGCTGGGTTGATTTTTTAGTTAAATTAGTTAAAAAATAATAATATTAATAAGATAATATGTTATATTTAAATTATAATTATTTTATTTTTTTATTATAAAAATTAAAAAGGTTAATCCAAACTAATTTTTTATTTGCAGCTAAATTAATTAGAAAATAAAAAAATTAACCCAGCTTCCTAAACAAAATCTAAAAAGATCGAAATCAATAGATGATGTGAAGATATAAATATAAATAATGTTAAATGCATATTTTAGTATTACAAAAAATGAAAATAATTTTTGTATTTACATGACTAATTTTTTATAAAAAGGAAACTAAATATTATGTGAATTTAAAATTTAGTAAAAAAATTCAATGTAATTATATTAAATTTATGTGCTTATGACATTTTTTTTTAATTTCAAGAAATAATTTTCCCTTAAATAAATTGTAAAGTGAGTACATCAAACAAGTTAATTCAATTAGAAGTTACAACTTTCTTATATATAAGTTTTGTGTGGTGCAATTTGCATGTTTTTTATAATCTGTTTAATTTAGGGGTTGTTTGGTTTGTGAGTTGGGTTAAATAATTATAAAAGGATAAAAAAAAGTCAAAAAATCAAAAAAAAAAATCCACCATTCCAAAGTTAAAAAGTCAATCAAGAATACCAAACGAACAAAAAAAAGTCTAAAGTTAAAAAAGTCAAAAAAATAACTAAAAAAATCATTGTCAAACAAAGGCTTAGAAACATCTATTAGAGTGTTCGGTGTAATTTTTTTTTACAATTATGAGATCAAAATAGTTTGATCAAGTTAAAAAAAATTAATTATAAAAAAAATTTAAAAAATAATATTTATAACTTTACTTTTGATTATTAATTTTTAACTTTACTTTCAAATGGCTCCATGTGTGCACCAAATAATGAGATACACGATGATTTTATCTGAAAAATAAGCATGACACGTATGTTATAGATTGACCTGCTAAACCAACTCTTTCTTGTGGATAGAGCCCGTTGAAGTTGAATAAATACTGAATATAATAATAGCATATTGCTATATAGGATGTTATCAACCAATTAAAAATTATAGATAGAATTGCATAGGGCTTGTTTGGTTTGATTTTGGGAGATGAGTTTGGGAGATAAAAAGTACGAAAAGTTGTTTGGTTTTGTTTTTTTGGAAAGATGTTTTGGAAAATTATTTTGAGAGAGAGTTTTGGAAAAAGTGATTGATTTGATGTGTATGAGAGAGAGATTTATTTGGAAAACTTGTTTGGTTTACAAGTTTTGGGAAATTTTTTTGAGAAAATTTGTTTGGTTTGAGTTTTTCTGAAAACTCATTTGTAGAGAAATTTTCCCAAAATTTTTTGGGAAATTCAAACCAAACGAACCCGTAGTGTAACCATATAATTCTACTGTTATAATAGAATATTTTTTATTTCTAAGTGATGATGCTAAAATCATATTTATTTGGATATATTAGATTAGATGAAATTAATATTTTTAAGACTGTTGGTGTTGAAATTATTAATCCTTATGAATTGTGTATCATATTACATATTTAGATTGACCAAGAATTATAAAAAAATATCAAAAAAATTCGAGTATCAATTTTTGAATTTAATCACTTGTTCAAATCTCTCTATAATCTCTCATTTTGTATCACACCCTTCTATTAGAATTCAACAACCCTCTCATACGAAGGATGTACCCAATTTTTCTTAATCAAATATAAGATTATATATTTTATTAGATTACTAATCTAATCCCAAAACTACATCCCTCTAAATAAATATGACTTAAGTGATATTATTATACCAAGGGAGAAGATTCAGTTCATTTTAGGATCTAATTCGATAAGTCTATTCAGGGTTTGTTTGGCAAGAAGAGTTTGGGACTTTTTTGGCTATTTTAGCCACAAAAGACAAAATAGGCTATTTTAGTCATAAAAAATAAAACATCACATCCAACCCATAATCATTACACTCTTCTCTCACAAAAAAAGTCAAAAAAGCCAAAAAACCCTTTCCAAACCAAGCTTTTTAGCCCAGGCTAAAATAGCCAAAAAATTTAAAAAGTCAAAAAGCCAACCCACTTCCCAAACGGAGGCTCAATTTTAAAAAAATAATAATTTATTTTTAAAATTATATTTATTATCTATTTTTAAAAATAAATATAAATTACAATAGAAATTTGAGTCATAACACAAGGTAAGCCATCGAGTCATAACCGGAACTCTTCGATTGGTTACCCAAACAAGAAAGAATCCAAATATTAACTTAAGTCCAAGGATAGATGGGGTTTTAATAAATAAATAATTACAAAGTAATGGGTTTTAGATGGGGATGCTCACTTAACTATTGTGTATTTGCTTTTATCTGTTTGTCATTTTTTGCCTTTTTATTTTTTTTTTATTTGTTGAATTTGGGATTTGAATGGGAGTATCTCTTTTTCCCCTTTGGACACGAGTTGATCCAACAACCATCCACGTCACTCACTTTTGACATTTGGCCTTTTTTTCCTCTTTTCTTCTCTATCTCCATTGTTATAATTTAGGAGTGAGAAAATATGTGATACATTGGACCTATTTGGTACTTGTTAATTGTAAATTAAAAAGGGAACACTTTTCTCCAGTATATTATATGGATTAGAATATATTTTTGGATGTGTGAGATTTATTATAAGTTCGTTTCAATAATTTATATTATTTAATATGTAAAATTCGTCAAGTATTTTACACTGATAAAAAATTATGTTAATTGGATATTGATAACTCCTTAATCTGAATATATTTTTGTCAACAATTTATTTTTAAAATTTTATTTATTATTGACAAAAATGTGTTTCGATCAAGAGACTACAAATATCTTATCTACGTAATTTTTTGCATAAACAGTTTGAATTATCAAAACGGAATCTGTGATGGGCCTCATAGGCCCAACAGTAAGCTCCAATTAAAAATTATTAATTAAAAAGTAAGAATTAAAAATATTTTTCTTTTAATTTTTAAATAATCAATTTTTGTAATTTTATTTAAGTTTTTTTTCCTTGTTAAGCTATACAAATTTTCAAATTAATAAGATATAAGTAGCTTATATAAAATATACCAAAATGCACCATTATAACTTGAGGTACATATCAACTAGATTCCCATTGTGCCGTATAATACAATCATAATAATATATTATTTATAGTTTAATTTGATATCCGGATTAATTTAAGCCTACCCATTTAATTCAGTACATATAAACATTGTTTGATTAATAGGATTAATAGGGAAATGATTAATAATTCCATGAATTAGTATCCATTTATTATGTATTGATTTTATTTTTTTCTTTTATGCTTGAAATTATGATCCCTAAGCCTTCTCAATATTAAAAATTTGTCAATTTTGTCAAATTGAATATCCGACGTACATATAATTCAGTTAATAAAATTTGTAATCAAATATAGAATTGTGAGTCCATGAACGAACAATCTTAATTCTATGCAATAATCCTATTAATCAAACATGTCTAGATCATTATTTGTTTTGGAGAGGCTTGTAAAGATATTCAATAAATTTGACATTTTTAATAATTATTTTAATTTGAGTCATTGACAAAATTTAATTGTTAAATTTAAGTTTTAGAAAGAATTATAAATATTTTTCTTAAATTTTATTATTTTCTAATTTAGTGTTTCTAAATAATATAAGAATTAGACTGAGTTAGAATTCATCATCCTAAACACAATTCAAAAAATGTCAAGTTCAATTTGAATTTTTGTGAATGAGAATGGCTAAAAGTGAGCCACATTTATGTATCTATAGTTTTCTTTCTGTTGGGAGGGTTTGCTCAGCAATAGTTTTGTTTTCTTCCATTTGACTCATTTAAAAAATAAAAATTAATAGTAAAAAGAAAGAAAAGAAAGAAAATAAAAGACTTTCCACCATTGTGTGCCAAAAGGAAAAGAAAGAAAGAATAGGTGGGTCTGCTGAGTAGCCACCACAGAGAAACTTTCCCAAGTCAAAAATAAATGTTGCTATTTGGTTATAGTGAGACAAAAGAACCAAGCCAAGATGGGCTACTAGTTTTTTGACTTTACCTTATTAAACTTATTAGTATCTTGGTTAGTCAAACTTGATATTGATATGATTAGAATTTTTAACAACTTGAATCATGTTAAATAAAAAATTGTTTAAATTTGATTTGATAATTTAATGAATTTCAAAATATATTTAAATTTTTTTATTTACATTTTGAATTGATTTTAAATAAGTTTTAATCGAGCAAAATTCAAGTTACTTAATTTTTTACAGTGCATAGTTTATCGAGTCAAGTAGTAGGTTATTCAAATTTGATTTCAAAACTTAATAAGATTTAAATGTGTGAATGCTTGATTTGTTTACATAATCAGATAATTTCAAACTAATTTTTACTGAATCAAAAATGAATCGAGCTCAAATATAAGCTAGTTTTTTTTTTTTTTTTTACAAAACTCATTTTTTTTTTTTCCCTTTTCTCCACAAATCTCTATAATCCAAAATTCAAACACAGGTTTATGCTCCATTTGAACTAATGAATTTGAATTGAAGGGACTTGAAATTAAAACTTCATAAAATTATAGGATAATTAATCATTGGATGCAAATTGATAATTTTAATCTGAAGGATTAAATAGGATTTTTATTGAAATTATTATGCAAGTAGAATCATTCATTGAAAGATTTCAAATAACTATATTCACTAGGATATTTTAAATTCATCAATTCAAAACTATTTATTATTGAATGAGTGATGTCAAAAATCTATTCATTTGAAATCCATTAATCCAAATGCAAGCTTAGCTTTCAATAATTTTGGTAAAACTAAGCTCGATTCGGCTTATCTTTTTTGTCTAACTACATCAAGCAATAACTTTAGAGTCATGACTAAATACAAGTGCAAAAAATAATTTGAAATATATATATAGTTGAAACAGGCAAAGCGCTAATTTTCTTAATATATAAAATCATCATTGTTAGCATCATCATGCTTTTCCAATATGGACATAGTTTTTATAAATAATGAAATGAGTCATTGAATTAGATTTTAAAGCAATTTCGAGAGGCTAGAGATTGAAGCATTCCAACAAGGGCATGAGTTGTAAAGCAATCAACTGTTGTGAGATAGGTAGGAAAACTTGGAAGAAAAGTAAAACAAATTAGAAATTGATTGATTAGAGATGTAGATAAGAATATGAAAAATAGGTGTAACAAACTCCATTATTGTGCATGTGTAGTACCTTCTTAAGTTGGGTTTGTTTGAATTTTTCCAAGTTTTAGGCTTCAAAAAAAACAATTGTCTTCAATATAAGGAAAATTGCATTTCAGTGGTAGAGAAATAATTTCATTTTTAAGATAGTACAAATCTTCTATGTGTATAGTATAAGTCATTTTTTGTGTGTCATTATTGCACCCAAAAAATATTCATTTATATTCAATTATTCTATGATATCCCCTCTTCAATATAAAGAGTGATGGACCCTTACCTTTGTAGCTTTGGCTTGGTTTGGTAATACAAACAAATAAGGGTGCATTTGATTGAGGGATTAGGGAGCCACCATTTATTATTTGGATTGTAATTTATTAGAAGCCTTATATCTGGGTTTGCTTTTTTTTAATCCATCGGACTTATTATCCCCCATATGTGGGATTAAACAACCCTAAGGGGAGGTGGAATTATTTCTATGAGATTAGTATCCTATGGAACTAATATATGAAATATCCATTTTATTCTCATGCTATTACTTAGTAAACAATTAGAAAAAGGATAATTATTTTTTTAGTGTTGTTAATTTAAAATTATATATTAAATAAAAAATATGAATTATAAATTATAAATTTAATTTAATTAAAAATTATGGCTTTATAAATTAAATTTTTTTAGTGTTGTTAAAAAATTAAATTTATATATTAAATAAAATTATTTTTTTAGTGTTGTTAATTTAAAATTATATATTAAATAAAAAATATTTATTATACAGATAAAAAGAATGAGAAATTACTCACAAAATAGAATAAAATTTAACCCTTACAACAAAGTAGACTAAATTGTTAAATTATAAATTATAAATTTAAAATTTAAAATTTAAAATTATATATTAAATAAAAATATAAATTATAAATTATAAGAGTAAAATAATTTTTTGAACATTTATCCGTATCCAATCCGTCTAATCAAATATTAGATTCACTAAAAATAGTCATTTACAAACATCTAACCCCATGAGAAAACAAACACGCGATACAAATCCAATCTAACCAAAAAGTCCGAGACATTCACAGTCCCAGGATTCAAGTCCGATGGATTCTAATCCCCCTTATCCAATCCGTCCTATCAAACACACCCTAAGGGGGATAAAGGGGGACTATTTACTGTGCGAATTGTAATCCGGGAGAAGCATCCAATCTGCCATTTGTTTTTTTTTTAGTCCGCAGGACATGGAGTCCGACCGGACTCCTTATCCACCATATGGGGGACTATTATGTCCTAGGGGGGGTATGGGATAATTTTTTGCAGACTATCCACTGTTGGAATTAGGTGGTAAAATGACCATTTTGATCCTCTACTATTTAATTATGTATTATATTTAATAAAATTCAATAAAATTTAAATGTCTCAATTTAAAAATAAAATAATTTTACTTAACTTTTTATTGATGTTTTATTTATTTAATTTTTTTAAAATAATTTTTTATAGATATTTTATTAATGTTTTATTTTAAAATTTTGTTTATATTTTATTTAATTTCATTTTTAATTATTATTATTTTTAAAAACAAATTTATTTAAAATTTTAATTAAAAAATAATATATATTTTTATTGGTATTTTATTTATTTTTTATTTAATTTTTAAAAAATAAATTTATTTAATTGTGTAAAAAATAAAATAAAATAAATTTTTATTTAATCTAGCTAAAAATAATTAAAATATTAAAGATATATTCAATATTGCTATTACTTACTAAACAATTGAAAAATGATAAAATAGTCTTTTGTTGATTTATCTTATCCAGTCCGTCCAACCAAACGTGTGATTCACTAAAAATAGTCCTTTCCAGACATCTAATCCCATGAAAAAACAACACAGGATACATATCCAATCCAACCAAATAGTCCAAGAGATTCACAGTCCAAGGACTCAAGTCCGATGGATTCTAATCCCCCTTATCCAGTCCGTCCAATCAAACACACTCTATGTTGCTTATTAACTTATTTCCGTCACATTACTTTTCTACTTTTTTGTACGTCTATTTGTTAAAAAAAAAAATTAATAATAAAAAATAAATCATACCCAAACTAGCCTAAAACAATAATAGATTCGTTTTTTGACGGAAAAATCTCATCAAAGAACATGTTTGCCCATTTCTACAGAGTAAATTCCAAATACCAAATTAAAACCAACACAGAACAGAGTTTAAAACCTCGGAGTTTACTATTTATCTAAAAGAATAAAAGATTATCACTAGGTTATCCAAGCAAGTTAACTTCTTAATGATATTAATATATATATATATATAATTGTGTTGGTAACTACAATCAAATTGCATTGACTAAATTGTGAAGATAAACCCACATTACGTCTGAATTTTACACTATTACTCGAATCCAAATGCATTCTCTGCTAAATGCCTGATAAGAGACATTTAAAATTTCCAGTGAACAATTCTTAAAACACATAACAAACAAATCGATTGAATAAATAGTTGTCAAGAAGAGAGGTAAAACAAAACAAGACTAGTAAGAAGTGCCTGTGCATTTGTTTTCATCATTTTCACTTTCTGTTTTGGTTTTGTCTTCTAAAAAGCAAGAAGTTCAAAAAGACATGACCTATTAGATATCATTTCCATTTTCTATTCACTATTCCAAAAACACAACTAAAAAAGAAAATGCACTCAGACCCTTATTTTCACATGTAATTTCATGATCAAGTTCAATCTGGACAATCACCAGAATTGAGCTAAAACCTGTATCTACAATACAAATTGCAAACAAAAAATAAAAGAAGAAACTAACCGATAAGAACCGTAAAAGAGGAAGGAAATTATATTTGCCTACATGTACAGAACCTAATGTCACCGAAGGCTTCGTCATGCACAAAAAAAACCAACACCACCAAACAACCAGAAAAACTATGTTTTCTTCAAATCCGAAAAATTACATATTGAAACTTGCTCTTTGGATTTCTGGCCACATTTCAATCATCGTCACCTATTTCCAGGTTCGTTAACTGCAGGAACACTTGCAGAGTAATCAGACACGTCTATGTCAATGAGCGATAGGTCATAGGGCACAGTGGGCGAATTCGAGACATCCATGAGCAACGAAGAGTTTATTGCCTCGAGATTTTTAGTATCCTCTGTTGTGCCAGGATTCTGGGGACTACTACTGCCGGAGGAAGAGAGACTAGCGAGCTGTACATCGTCCAACTTGTTCCCAAGCATGTGTTTGTTCTTTCTAACAGTATCCATCTCCGGACCAGTTGGAACAAAGGTCCGTGACCGATACTTCTTTGGTCCCTCCTCACCCTCGCTATGGTTGTAGAGCACGTAATCATGGTATGTCGGTGCAAACTGCATGAAGAAAAAAACTACTAACGGGCAGGTGGTGCAACATAAAATGAGGTAGTCCTTTAGGGAGTCCATAATCATGGTATGTGTTTCTTCTTTTTTTTTTTCTTTCTTTTCTTTTTTTTTGGAATTTTTTAAGATTTATTCACAAATATTTTACTTTCTAGATGTATCTAGATTAGGTGTTATCTAAAATAGTAAAAAGAAAAAAAAAATGACTAAAATATGAAAAAGTTTACTAATTAATGACAAACACGAAAAGCAAAAAACTCAAAAACAGTTTGTGAGTTTGAAAACCAAACAAAAAACATGACTCACCTGGTGGACCGTGTCATGGTAAAAGTCATTCAACTTCAAAGCATGTGCGAGGCTCGCTGAGAAGCCACGAGGGGCACCAATATTGGCACCAGCATACTCCTTGTACGGAAATGCAAACAGATGGCCAACAGCTGCAATAAGCATCTCGACACAAACTATGAAATTCTGGAATTCAGCAGCATCCTCTGCATTTTTTATAAATCCAGACTTTGCAGCAAGAAATACGAGAACACCCTAAGGAAAAAGGAAAAGTGAGAAACATACTGGAAGTTCTACAATTGCCTTATGTATTTCAAGTCCAACTACAATGCGAGCACAAAAGTCGTTTTTTATGCATAGCCAACAAGAAGCCAAGCACAATCAAATGTCTGTTTACATAATGATAAATTTCCACTATTCAAGACGCTGTGACCTGCTGTAATGGCAAGTGCTCATCCACCAGAGCGCTTGGAGTGGATTCGAGTCATGAAAATCAGCCTCTTTGCCGAAAAAGAAAAAGAAAAAGAGTAAGGCAGCCTACCTACCATCTCCCCAGGCCATGCTTTAAACAGGGAGCTTTGTGCGCTACCAATTTCCATTATTCAAACAGGCAACGAAGGGCAGGCAAAAAAGAAATTGTTTGGACCGCATTTAGGAGGTACTCCAAACTCCAAAAAATGCATAGCTTCTAGGCTGTGTTTGGTTCAAGGATTTTTCAAATCCCTCCCAAAATCCTAAGTGTGAAACTAGGTGAAATGTAAGTGTATTTTATTCATATTTTACCGTCCTTTTCCCTCTACCTTCCAAATCACTCCCCAAATTCTTGAACCAAGCACAGCGCCAGAGTAAAATTACTAACAGATGAAAAAGAGTCCAGATTAATCTATAATTTGAAGACTTATTGGCAATCTTATAGCTAAATCAAGCACCAGTAATCTATAATTTGAAGACTTATTGGCAATCTTATAGCTAAATCAAGCACCAGTTTTTTTGTCAGAGAAGGATAATCACAAAACTCACATCAACTATTTAACCTCGGGTTTTGTATTAAAGGAATTTACAATGAGCTTTCTTGAGGTTGCAACTAGAAAAACCTGTCCTTAGGTTTGTTATATTAAACTGATTTGCATCTGTTGATAAAGAATGCCAAGCAACTCCTACATCTGCAACACAACAGAGATTATTTGTCACACTTTAGCCACACACTGCAGACAGGCAAGTCCTCAATGTCACTTTGGCACCTTCATCTACTCCAGTTAAGTCAGCCTCTGCACAACTATGTGACAATCATCCAACGTGTACATGCTTTCAATAGCAAATCCACCACCAACCATCACTTTAAGAGCTGAAATTTCACAGAGAAGAGACTCCCCGTTCAATAAGCCACCGCTTCTCTTCCCTCAATCACCACTGCTCCTTGCGGAGCCACCGAATCTCCTCTCTTGAAAGTGCCCATTCCTACTCCCTATTCAACTGACAAAAACCACAAAAGCAACCTCCCCAAACTCAAAACAAAAAGAACACTGAAAGAATAACAACAAAACAGCAGACAGGAGACGTGAGATAAACGAGAACCAGAACCCTAGAGAAAATGACCCCATCAATAAAGAACAAAACCCCAAAAGAAAAAAAAATAAACACAATAGATCGAGGTTTGACATCCAAACCCTAGTAGGAAAATCTTCAACAATGTTAACGAGTTCTAGAAAGTCATGTAGTAGGAGGGAATGAAGAAATATGAATAAACAAAAACATGAAGAAAACAAAATGGGATCATAGATTATTGATTTCTACTGTCCCACAGCCTCAACTAAATAAATAACCATGGTGACAGGTTATCTCTGTAGATGTGATGGAAATAGAAGTCGATGGTGTTCCAACAACTTAGCTCCACGGTGGGATGTGGTCATGGTGTGGTGGCAACCAGCTTTTGGATCATCACTATAAAATTGATCAATACTTGAAGTGATAAATGGGTCTGAGAATATATTACCAATGATGGTCAAATGTGGAGACAATGTACTTTGTTGTTGAAGCAGAGTGGATAAGGTATAGCCCTTGCCGTAAACGCAATGGGACAATAAGTGAGCAGTTGCTCCACATGGATGTGGGTTGTCAAATAATTTTGCAAGGGCATAATAGCACTGTTAATTGGTCAACAAGTCAAATAAGGGCCACAGAATCATGTTGATATTGTGATAATTTTAGTCACACTAAAATATTCTGTCACTAAATCAATGGTCAATTAATTTCAAAAAAGGATAACTATAATAGTAAACCAAATAGGTGGCAGTGTTAATAAACCACAAGAATGGCCTCTGTAGTTGCCAAAATCCCCAAAGAGGATAAAATGTATGTTCACTTGGTCTCTATTTATTTCCATGGCCAAAACTATCCTCCCACTTAATTTTAGTCACCTCACATGATAGCCCAATCAAGTAAGTTTATAATAGATAATTTTAACTTCCCACAACATCCCATGTTCTGTATGACTCCTACCCCCCCCCCAAAAAAACTAACATTAACAACTATAGTGTTATTGCATGCATCACACATGTTCCAGAAAATATTAGTCATAATGAACACATCATTTCAGAAAAGGACGAAATTCAATTCATACCTAAAATATTAACAAAATGGAACAAGATCCTACCTGCCAATAGGTGAGGAAAACAACAGATTTGATTATGATGAACTTTGGAACTGGATTGAATGGCTGAAGCAAATCTCTGCACGCTACATAAAACAAGGCCAATGAATAGAGTGCCATTGAGTACGATACAGTGTAGATGATGGTGAGATAAAGGAATGACTGGTCTGGACTAAAATTTCCATCATGATATTTCCCTTTCGCATAAAGTAATAATGTGACTGCAACTAAAATCGGCTTGAGTATCACAAACTGCAAACAACCTTGCTTGCATCTCCGTATGAAACGCCTGCATAGCTTTAACAAATTCAGAAAAGTGATGAATCAAACATAAAATAAGAAATGAAATGTTTAAATGTGGGGTCACTCAAATGAAATTGGGGGAAACTACCGCTCATACTTCTCCTTAGAAGTCTAAAATAACAACCATCATATCAGGCATATAAAAAGAATGTGATGTGTGCCATCTCATTCAACTATCCCAAATTTTTCAAGAACATCATCACTACGAGTCCACAAACTTGGGAGTTTGGGAAAGCAGTGCACACAAGGAGGTAAGAACAACATATCATTCCAACCAAAATTATTCCAACTCAGTAATTTATTGATTTTCTTCACTATGGATTTCAATCAAAATTCCGAAATTCTTTAAAGCCTAAAAACCTCTTGTATCCTGAACTTGTCACCATTCATCAAACCAATCAAAGTAGATGGCAGATTGATTCAAAAGTTACTCACCCATCCAATGGAATGGGAGGAAAACAACACGTCATCAGACACCAGTTTGGCTTCAGAACTCGACCACTTAAACTTAGCACAACTGCACCTGGGCCACCCACCCATGCCAGGCATAATGACAGGAAATTATAAATGACCCACGCTTCATAGCTGAAACAATATATAGAAAAATTAGAAAATTCTACTAAATGCAGTGTAAAGCTCATAGGAATAATAAATAAAATGTAAAAACCTCTGGTCAACCCATTGACACGTAGCAAGATATCATATGATATATCAAATATATTGAATACCATCTTATATAAAAATACAAAGAACCTAAAAACACCATTATGGCATGACAAGACCAATTCAATCAGTGTTTTTACTTTCAAGCAGATATGCTAATAAAGGAAAGATTAAAAAACAATTCTTATATTGACATTTTGTGCTCATTTCAAAATTTCTGCTTCGTTATTCACCCCAGACCATTTATGATAGATATAAGCCAATGGACAACAATTAAGTCAAGTTAATTCTCATTTCAATTCACCTAAAATTCCATTTTTTATATAATAGGTATTTCCTTCAATGAATGATTTTCCCTGCAAAAGATTCTGAATTTCACTTCCCTGGCCAATATTTGTTTCTTGGTGTGAAAAAATGGGCACTGAGCCTAGACATCATAGCATCTGATATATTGAAGCAGGATTACTCTTATTCTTATCCAATGTCTGCCCAACTCACTCAATAAAAAATTCTGTCCAACTGAAAATTATATTTCAAAATTTATCCATAACATGTTTGTCTTTCCCATGTGAATCCACATTCACTATAAATTACTAATGCAAAACCAGCTAACTTAGCTAACATTGAGAGGCATATTGAAGAATGAGGGAGATGTAACAAAAACAATTGCCACAATTTAGACTATTTAGCTCTAAATTCAATAGAGATTGAAAGAATTGTAATTCGTAAAAATACCTGGTGGAGATGCTGCATCAATTATTCAAAGACAAGAAAGAAAAGGGGGCTAAGATTTGTTGTCAAATTTTAAACATGAAAGTTTATGTACCGGTTACCAACTGCCATCTCTAAGGAAAGTACAATGGACAATAACACAAGTCACAGATAAACCAATGCCTTCAATGTTATGGTCTAAAACACTTGGATGTAATCACAAAAATACATATATAAGAACTGTGATGTTTTAAACATTATAGTCACTACTATTCAAAAATCAAATAATTGTGAAGCAAACAAGAATGGAAATGAACAACGAACAGAAAAGACGAATAAAGGAAAAATAACAATTATAACAAGCCGGGTTAAACACTACTGAAAAGTAAGTAATACTGAGAATTAAACACAAAAACAGGCATTCTTACATTTCCCTAATAGAATTAAAATAGATTGAGCTCTCATTTAGGACAAGTGACAAGAAAGACATCAATGCATAAACCTGTCAAAAAGAAAAATATTTTTTAGTCACAGAAATAAAAAGATAAAACAGAACACAAAAAGAACTTATTAGTATTGAAGTGCTGTGTTTCATGGATTCAAGGAGAAGAAGAGGTACAAGAAAATGTGAGGACAAACTGAAACAAAGTACAGAAAATCCAAAGACAGAGGAACTGAAACAGTGTAAAATACAACATTTCCATTGTTTGTTTTGGGGGGGGAGGGGGGATATGTACCAGAAGCATCATGGGTGGAATCAGAAGTTCAAGTCCACAATTGAAGTATTGAACAAAAAGTTGAACAAGTTCAGCAAAAAACTGAGATCATGGCACACAGGAGTCCAAAATTTTCTCTTCCCCAGACAAATAAAACTGAGATCATGGCACACAGGAGTCCAAAATTTTCTCTTCCCCAGACAAATAATAAGGTATAACACACAAACACAAGTTTACTCAAGTAAACCAACACATTTCTTTGAAAATCTTGCCAATGTGGTATGAAACATGCATATGTACATAGAAGAAAAAGAATTAAAATAATCCACTCACGAAAGGACAACAAAAAAATAGAGAAACAAGCAGCAGCCTATGAGACTTAATTGGATAACATGGTAAACCACCTCCAAGAGCAAATGGAATTTTCCTTTAAGCTGAAGGTAGAAGAGCATCCACAAAAAATCTCAGAAATGCATTGCAAAATTGTTTAACAGGACCAAATCACATAATCAAATGTAACAAAATTTTCATGTTAATAATGAAGAAGGAAAATTATGTTACGAATATAAGATGCTCCAGGACCAAATAGTTCATTTTAACAATAACCTTCTTCAAAAATATAGAAAATCAATTAAAGGTGATCTCTTGAGGATTCTAATTGAATTTTCATTCTTCATAAATAGTCAATAGAATTATCAATTCCATTTTTTTTCCTCTCCGTTCCCACTAGTCTAGTGCCTACTTTCAACAAGTTTGCTACAACAGTTATTTCCCTAATAACCAACACCTTTCCTCCATGACACCAAATCCAAAATCTCAATGAACTTTGCCCCACAAAGTAGGCAAATTATTTATGCAGTTTTGATCACTAATGAGCATGTGGAAGAAGGTACACTAATAAATATGAGGAAAGGTAGCGATTATGTTGGACTTATAGAAGGTTCGTATATGACTGCAAATCAACAAAGTTGTTTACAAACAACACAGTTTCAGGTTAGTATGAACTCATTCAAGCAACTTGAACCCATAAAATAAGTTGGACCTTGATAAAGGCCTATGCACAGCAGCAATGGAGGAGCTTGCCAGGAGGGCTTGGTAGGCAACCTACCAGACACAAAGTCCTAGTATTACTCAGTAATTTGATTCACTGAGTACATCAGAACAATTTCACATCAAACCCAAGCAAAAGAAATACCCATGCAACACCTTTTTCCATAATACAATATACAAAGTTCAAAAACAACACAATAAATAAAGCAATAAAACTGAGCATTGCACAAGTCAGGGAGGATTTTAGTTGCATCAAGCGGGTGCCGGGACAGGGATGGGGACAGGAGCGGGAGAAGGGCCGGGGGAGCAAGGGCCCTATAGAAGAGTTTAAGGTTGGGAGGAGGGGCGGGAGCAAGGTTCAGGAGCTCCAACAAGAGTTTCCTGCTACTCAGGGGGATGCAACATGAGGTTGATGACCATGCCACAACAAAAATTACATGTCCTTTAAGCTCAACTACTTTTTGCACTCCCACCATGGAACTTCACATTCTTCCAACACAACAACAGATTTGAATGCATAAGTAGCTACAACATATTATGTGACCAAAATCATGGCAATGAAAATATGGATTCCTTCAGCATTCGAGCAACATTACTATATGCCTTTAGAGCTATACATCAACCATCATTATTCAGTCTACCAAACAAACGAATCCATGATGGATACCGTCCTGCATACTGCATTCAAGTATCTCTCCCACAAAACATCAACAAATGCATACAGTTATTAAAAAAAAACTTCCGAAGGCCAAATGTACACAAAAATTATAAACCTATAAAACTATGTAAAAGAAAATTGCATACAAAAAATAAAAGAAGAAGAGTATTGTAACTCACAGGAACCATAAAAATTATGCGAACAATGTATCTCTGATAAGTGGGTTCAGTATAATTCAATAGGTGCCTGTAAATGTGAAGAAGTGCTAAAGCAATGGCCCCGATTGTGCAAGGTAATGCGACAAATATATAGTATATAGGTGCCATTTGCTCCTCAGAGTCTCAAGAACACAATTTCACCCACCAAACAACTTCCTTTTTTTCTGGGCCCTAAACAAAAAATTAATAGCAATAATCAAATTGATTGATTGAAACAAAAAGATATATATATATTAATGCAAGAACATCAAAAAGATAAATAAATGAAGCATACAAGTCTCAAGAACAATGTTTCCACTTTCAGGCCCTACTAGTGCTATTCTTGGCTTGTTTTCTTGATATTCTTGCAACTGCAAATTGAACAATACACTCAAATCTTGAAGTGGGTCGAGAAAATTGTAAACCCTAGCCCCCAAAATTCCTATAGCCTGTTACCCAGAAAAAAAAAAAAATTAACAGTAAATCTTCACATACAGTAACATCATTTGATCCTAAACTTTGCAAAAAGGGCTAGAAAGAAGAAAGACACAAGTAAAAAAACCAAGAATAAGGTATAAAGCAAAAAGAAGAAGAACCCATAAAGGTAAATGGGTTTTGTATGCCTTCCATTGATTGAAATGATCTAGTGATTGAATTGGGTTTGTGTGAATACAGAGATTATAGATGGAAGAAAAAGTTGAACATACCTTGATCGATTGGACCGGAGAGGGAAATCGGAGGGTAGAGATTGTAGGTTGGTCGGTGACGGAGGTAGATCTGCTATGCTGGCCCAATGGCACAAATTCGATACACTGTGCAATTACAGAGTTTGTTTGTTTGTAAATTTTTTTTTCTTTTTTGGGGGTGACACTGTGCAACCAAAAAAAATGATAAATAATAAAAGGAATAAGAATGGTTATCATCGCGAGCACGCGACAACCGATGGAAACTTGCCAGCTAAGGAAATATTATTAACTCTCAATTGAATAATTAGAATAAAGCTATGCAAAATACTAGCAATGTTATACGCTTTAAATCTTCCATCAAATAAATAATTTAATTGTGATAGATACTTCCATACTTCCACACATACATGATCTCTACAACTTCTACTCTCATCGCAACCAGTTATAATGTGAGGGCCACACATACATGAGTACACACATCAAAAACTAAGATCAAATTAAGAGTCATGAAACTTCAAAAAAAAGTCCCAAACATTTCTCTAAATAATTATGTCTTACATAATTGGGGGATGTGCAAATTCTCACATGGTGTGAGAGTCTGCAATTTGTAGACTCTACATTCATCTGAGACGTTTGGTCATTTATTTAATATAAAATTTGGCATTTCTACCCTCATCCATTTTAAATATTTATATAGTTGTAAGATTCATATTATGTGGATTCTACGTAAGTCTCGCATTCTTGTAAAATATTTAGTAAAATATTTAGATCCCTAGCATTACTCTAAACCTATACGCGTCAATTGATACATTAATTAATGTATTAATAGATGATGTCGCATAATTTTATTTATTTTGAATTTTTATAATTTGTATAATAAATTGGATCCATAACTTTAAAATCGCAATATTATAATACATGTTGACATACTAATTAATATAATAATTGGCGTGTAACACTATTGGAATAATTATCCCTTTTTGTTTTAGGGCTGGGTTTTCGCAAACAGATTTTGGAGAGTGTTGTTCAGGCCATATAATGGACCTCATTTTAATAATTTAAATAAATTATTTTTAAAAACATTTATATATATTATTAATTAAAAAAATTGAACCGATTTGATAATTATAACTTATTTAATTTATCATATTTATTACTAAAAAATAAATAGATAATTTTTAAAAAAATATTTGATATTTTTAAAAACAAATGCGATAAATTAAATAAGCATCGGATCGATCAAATTCTTTTCAATCATAATATATATAAAAGAACTTACAAAAATAAATTGTGATTTTTTGTCTAAACTGTTATACTAACTTCAATTTTATATCATGTGTTCATTATTGTTGTAATTTATATGATTTACTAGCTCCTGTATCGATCATGGCATCTATGCTAAGGGTTTTGGCTGCAAACTTGATTACACAAGAGATCTCGACTAGATTTGGTTTAGGTATAACTGAATAATTAAATGGTAAGGATGTAGTATCTGGTTGGGCTTTAGAGTATTGACTAAAGGGTTGAGAATCAACTAAGTTGACTAATTCTAATGAATTCATATGCTCTTCAATCAGTTTATCTTTTAAAGGGTACTTATTATGAAATTGTTCTAGCTGCTGTTTAAGCTGTCTATTTTCTAATTCTAAACATTCTATGTCAAAGCTAGTCTTGGTTTCTATCTCGTGTATTTGTATCTTAAGCTCTCTTACTTGTAGTTCTAATTCTCTAATTGTTAAATGTAATTCTCTGTTTTCTAGATTATGATCTTCCCTAGTATTTCCTAAATCTATCTTATGTGTCATATTTAATTTTTCTAGACAGATTACACAATAGGTTATGCTGCATAATAAACATTGGGCTCGTTTATCTTTAGCTGAAAACCAATTACAATAGCTGCATCTAGTGGTATCAAATCCTAATCCTATTTGAAAGTTATGCTGACATTCAGTATCTGGATTACACTCCATCATAAAGAAAGTTTCTTGGGAAGGTGTTAATCCTATTTCTTGGTTGAGTTGTCCTAAAAGATTATCTATATTAGTATCACTTTCTGAATCACTATCTGAACTTATGGCTTCTATTTGATATTCATAATCGATGACTATACTATATATTTCTGAATCATCACTAGTTATACTAACTATATCTTCTTCTAAGTCTTCTATAATATGTAGTCTTTCTATCTGTTTATTAGTATTTGGTCTTTATCTTTTTGGGCAGTTCTTTGCAAAATGATTGGGTTCTCCACATATAAAACAATTGCATTTTTTACTTTAGGTTTTCTAACATATCGTTGTTTTCTTTGATCTTATTCTTTTTTTTGGTAGTCGCTTATAATTTATCCTATTAAAAGTTCACTCTTTCTAATGAATTTTTGTTTTTTTTCATGGTTTTCTATATTTTTTCTTCTAATATTTTTATTTTCTATATTTTCGATATATTTTTTCCTATTATATTTATCTTCATATTGTTAATTAGTATATTACGTTGTTACAGAAACCATAGTTTTGTTTTTTCAAATCTTTCTGTATTTTAACTTCTATACATTTTTCTTTGAGCTTATAAAATGTAAAAACTATTCTAGGTCCTATTCCTAAAGTTCCTCTATTCTTAATTCTCCAGTAGCTATTCTTGCTGGTAAACTTGCATAATAAACTGACCATTTGTTTTCTATCTCTCTTCCTAATTCTCCTGGTAATTTTCTAAAATATTTATTTCCTATTTCTTCATCAAAGCTTTTTCCAGTTCTTGCTGCTATGGCGAAGTATTCTCTACTAAAAGGTACAATATATTTCCAACTCCCTAATGTCATTTGGTCTAACTCGGTTAATGCTATGCTTTGAGCGGAGTCATTTCCTCTAGAAGGATCATATCCTATAAGTATCTCTTTAATAAAATTTGTAAAATTCCACGGGTTATTTCCTAATTCTTTGAGCTGTTTAATTGTTTCTTCATATTTCCCCTTAAAAGTTAAATAAATATTATAAGCTGAATCTCCTAGAAGTGTCTCCATATATTCCCACATATCTGTTGATTCATAGGGACTAGTCATCCATGCTTTTACTGCATCTTTTTCCCATCTCTCTA